TAGGGATAAAAGCTAATAAATATAAGTAAAAAAATTATTATTATCGTCATTATCGCAATCATTACAGTTATCATTGTAAAAAAAACGTCATCGCTTATCACCACCGCAAGTACAGCGGTGGCGCAACTCAACGGCTTCGAGCTGAAAGCATGTAAAGACGCCTTTAGCAGCCGTTTTCATTATCGTCATGTAACATTTGTTATCACCGCCATCGCCATCTCATCAAGAGATCATGACCATATCATCACCATCACCATCATCGCCACCTTCATTATCATCTCCATCACCACCATCGTCATCATCATCATCACCACTACCACAATCATCATCATCATCATCACCATTATCATCATACGGATGTACATAATATTTTCTCACAGATCCCACGGTAAAGTGAATAGCCTGAATCAACAGGAGAAAAGTTTCGCAAAATTTCGATAATACTTTTAAATTAACTTATTTATTTATTTTAGGACTATTACATCATATTTTCTCTCTGTCACAAAACAAATCCCACAGTCACGTGATAAGCCTGCGTTAACAGCCGTTCCTTGCACTTCCATTCGTATCCAAAACGGCCTTTTACACAGGCTATCACGTGGTATTTGACCCCACCCACTGTCTTTGACGAAACACTCAAACAATGCTGCTTAGAGTTGTTTGTTGATTGAACACTTTGTTTGACTCTCCGGAATACTTGGTTATTACATTAATGATTGGAGGGGTTATTACATTTATGATGGGTTTTGATTATTACATTTATGGTTAGATTTTATTACATTTATGGTTGTTATTACATTTATGGTTGATTTTTATTACATTCATGGTTGGTATTACATTTATGGGTGTTATTACATTTCTGGTTGACTGTTATTACATTTATGGTTGTTATTACATTTATGGTTGATTTTTATTACATTTATGGTGGGTATTACATTTATGGGTATTATTACATTTAAGGGTAATGCGCGCTCACGACAACCCTGATCATAACATCGACTTTAATGCTGTTCAAGTTATCGCCAAGACCTTTGAATACTTCCCTCGACTCATCAAAGCATCCATCGAAACCTTCAAACGTAATTTCAACAGAGAAGATTCCTACCGCCTTAGTTCTACCTGGACCAGACTTAAAGGGGGACTGGCATGTAAATCGTCCGAATTTTAATTCAGCTGAAACTTTACTGGAATAACCCTTAAAGGTCTAATAATCACTGGTTTAATTTTTTTTTCTGATATTCGGATGGGAAGTATTATATTTTTACAAATTTGTATAGGAGTATGTGACGTCATACGCTCAACCCTAAAATAACATCGCTCCAAACATTTTTTTGTATTTTGTAATCAAAACAGTCTTCTAGTTTTATACTCAGTAGAAATGTACGTGAAGGTGACTGCCTATTTAACTTTCAAAAAACGATTTAAACTTTTTTTWAAACTTCGATTTTCCGAATTGAAACTTAATGCTGATTCCAAATCTGGAAAGAAAAATTAAATTGGGTGTCACAAGCATGTTTTTGAGATAATCAGCATTCAATGGAAGCCTACGCGCGAGGTTTTGGAGCAAAACTTGCGCCACCGGAAGTGATTAGGAAAAATTAAAATTCATAAAATAGTTATTTGCAGACTATATGTTTGCACGAATGAAGGCTAGTCAATCATTCTACAATAATACATGGATATTTTCGGCAAAACGACAAAGAGATAAATTGATTTGTCATATTTTGTAGTTTCGGTGCTCTTAAAAAATCTCATAACGTCGAACAAAAATCCCTACAAAAATCTATTTTTTCATGTGTTAAAAATATAAACTTTTTCTAAAATGTTGATATAACCTAGATTTTTAGACGTTTTTTCGAATGAGCTGTTAAAAAATAGAGAGTCCCGTGCAAAATTTGAGGGTTTTGCCCTGTTGAAGCTCCAAACGCGTATGGTTTTTCAATATAAAGATCTTGTTGATTTTTCAGCGGTTTTTGAGCGCGCGCACATCGTGGGCTCGAATCGAACGTTCAAAAGTAGGCAGTCACCTAAAGTCTCTCAGCGGACCTTTTGCTTTATAGACATAAAGTAAAACATGAAGTTATTTACAAAGAAATGTATAGAGCAATGTTTAGTGTCGAGTGTCACAGACACCTATAGAAATTCGTAAAAATATAACACTTCGCATTGGAATATAAAGAAAAAACTTTTACCAGTGATTATTTCATTGAAGTTTCAGCCGAATTAAATTTCGAAAGATTTACATGCTAGTCTCCCTTTAATATCAAGAACACTAGTGACTCTGACAGCTTTTGCCATGACAACCCTACCCTTCATCGCTCCATTGCCTCTTCCCACGCTTTGTTTGCATGTACGCGCTTCACACATTTTCATCATCATTCTGATGAAGGCTATCCCTAGTTATAGCCGAAAAGTCATGTTTTAAAAAATTCTACGCGTCTTGTCCGTAATCTTACTTGTTTTAAATAATACTTCATTCACATTCAAGAAGAAGAAAAACGATACATTTAGTACAGTGCAATTTACAAATTTGGGGGGATTAATTTACAAATTATAGGGATTCAAATCTTATCAAAAAGATTATATAATGTTCAATAGAGGTTTCCATTTACGAACAAATTTCCCGGACGAACGGTTTGAAGAAAAAGCATAAGAAAAAGCAACTGTGTGTTTAAAAGAAATAAAGTTTAGAAGTTTACTTAAAGTAGGGATGTTCGTAATCTTACATTTAATTTATCATGCCTGAACGCGAAAGCCTCAAAGATACTAAATATAGCACTGTTTGATTTTCGGCCGTAATAGGCTAAACACTAAGAAAATCTTAAAATAAAATACACTGCTAGAATCTAAGATAATCAAAGCTCATTATATGAAAAATCCAGTTAAATTAAAGCACTAGTTTTTCGAAGTGAGCGAGAATAAAATTGTCAAAAATTCACTCTGGATTAGTTTGGATCCACCTTATAACTGAAAACAGTTTATTACATATTATTATCTTAATACCATGCATTATCATCATTCACAATTCAATATGACTAAGCCTACAGACTAGATTGTTGATAGTTCTTGGTTTCAGAGATTGAACAAAGACAACGGGGATTTCATAGGGACGCGCTGACTCGATATCATACAGGGCTTGTCGCGAATCCAGGAATTTTAGGGAGAGGGGGTGAGTGTCTACTACCAGGTTGAATAGGAATCTTTACTCATTAATTCTTTACTCTTTGATATCAGTTTTACTCTTAAAAAATGCATAGGAGGAGCTAAGGGTAATATGAGGGATTGGTTTAATACATATGAATCAAATAATAAATCAAAAATCGAAAATTTAGTGTTGAAAGAGGTAAATAGGGGGAAGAGGAAAGGGG